AATCTTATTTGTGTGCTTGTGTTGGGTATAATTAGAGGGTGTACACAGCACAGGGTCAGGCAGGGTGGAGATTTGCATGTGTAAGTCATCTGTAGCCTGTCAGAAGTAGTGCAGAAGGCAGATGGATGGGTCTGAGCTTTACTGTTGAAAGTGTGTGTCTGTGTGTGTGATGTGTTGTTTGTAGGGTTTTGTGCGTGTATGCGAGTGCATGCAAGTGTGCTAAGAGTTGAATTAACCTCAATAATAGTCAATTAGGCTGTGATCAATCAGACTGATTGATCTAAGTGACAGCACAGATGGACTGAAATGGGAGAGGGGAAAGAAGAATGGAAGATGGAGACACTGGGAATATGGAGGAGGAGGAGGAGGAGGAAGGGGACAGGAGGGTGGACAAGACACAAGGAGAGGAAGCAGGAGACCAAACAGAGGAACCAGGAGAAATTTTAAACTGTATAATTTTTTCATGACTCCAAATGAACCTGCTTGGATAGTGATAGTGGTTCAGTTCTACAGATGAGATTATATTGAAATGGTGCTTGGATTTCACATAACTTATCTTAGAGCTAACTGCATGGCTTTAGTTGGTGGACACATCCCAACGTCATGAAAAACCTTTTTAATGCCAAACTTTGTGTCTTTTACTTTGATAGCCATTTCTTTTACTGTAGCGTATATTTAAATACACATCAAACACACTGACTTGATTACTGTACTATAATACACACACTAATAGGTGATTCTTACCTACCAGTCAAACAGCCTTAATAGTCACGACACAGTATCCAATAAAATAGGTATACAACCCTGTGTAGTCTTGTGTGCTATTACACACACAAAGTTGAACATTTAGACAGTTATTTCAGGTGGAGTTTATTTGCAAAAACTGATAAAAGTGCATAAGGATATTTTAACCTCTGAAAACAGTTTCCGCTTCATTGTTTCCTTCCTCGTCGTGTAAACAGTATTATCCCAGTGATATTTACTGCTCTTACATGCAATCAAGTAGGCAGCCAGACTATTGTTTTTTTCTCAGTATTTGTAGCATTTACATCATTGTGCAGATGCAAATGTATCCAGATCTGAGCGACTGAATTTAACCTTTATTGTCACTTAATAAAATCATTTCACACAGACACAAAATGTTAGTGTCTAATGCAATATAAATCCATTAAAATTAAAAAAGGGACAGACACTTTTGCCCTTGAATGTTTATTTGTATATTAATATTTGTGACTTGTGACTCTGCACCTACAGTTTCTTATTAGAGAGACTGACCTGGACTCGTCCACTGGCCCATGAAACTGTCTGCTGCTTTTAAAGGGAATGAGAGGAGCTGATGTGATTGGCCATTATTGTGGCCCATCCCGACTCCACTGGCTGATACTGCACTTTCATCCGGTTCCATTCTCTTTTCCACTTTTCACATGTGGCACACATTTTTGGAGCATCTTATTTCTGTTTCCACCAAACATCAATCTGATACTGCGCATTCAGTCTGACAGCAAAACACTGCAAGTGTATCTACCTGCTATAGACGTTTGCATGTATGTCACTCACCGATGCAGTGTGTTGCTAGATTCGAGTCAACTTGATACACTGTTATTGTATTGACCATGGCCTAAGGCAGCAGCTAAGCACAGTTACTTATCGGTGTATTGTACAAGGAGTACAGGACAGCTCAAAAGGTGCAGTTGAGTGGTAGGATTTATCTAAGATGAACAAGCTTGGATAATAAAACAAAATGCAATGACAATGGAAATTGAGGCTGCACCTAAACCTAAGCTGAGAGAATTTTGGATATCTGTATAATATTTAATATTTAATATCATATTTAGAGAAATGTTCATACAATTAATGAAGTAGAAGTCATTACTAAAAATGAAACTAAGAGAATAAAAAAGAGAAGGAATGACAAATTGAAGAGAAAAGCTTATATTAACTTTCAAGGTTTGATCATAAGAATATAATCACAGCATTATATGAATGTCAAGAGTAAGTTTTAAGAGTAAGTCCTCTGAATCTTTCTGTGTTTATGTATTATCAGTATGTTGGATCACTGTTTACACTGTCATCCGGTAGATGAGGGTAGGGGAATGGTGGGAGGGATGACAGGAAGAAGAATGAAAGACAGGACAGGAGCCTGTGTGGAGAAGTAAGAAGGATGGGTGGAGGGATGGAAAGAAACGGGTATGTTAGGTAAAGGGCATGCTGTCACCCTGATAAGGAAAAGGTCAAAGAGAAGCGTGCAGTTAACTGTTGCTGTTGAGATGCCCCTATAGTGCCCCTATAGTGCTGGTGTGAGTCTCTGTGTGTGTGTGTGTGTGTGTGTACAGTAAGTATGAGAAAACTGACGAAGATGATTAAAAATGAAACATACATTTGTGTTTGTCATTAAAACTATGTTCATTATGTCATTGGTTGAAGTGTCTATCAAAATAATAAATCATCAAAATAATGGCTGTCCTATACTTTGCATTTAACTTCTAACATCAAACTGCTGTGGAAAACTTATTTTTTCACATTTACATTGAAATGATGTCAATTAATAACAACTGTAATAATGTAAACACTATTCGCATGATGTGAAAAGCACATAGAGGGAGTGATTCTGGCTTCCCAATAACAACTGACTCAACTGAGTTTAGATTTCCTCTGTATGTTAGCAATCAGTTCTACTGCAATTATGCCGACAATGTCTTGATTGTACCTTTTATTGCAACACTGTGATCAACAAACAGTGGTTGTAATCACATCTGCAGCCTCACATGAATGGAACAGAGCCACTAGGAATGATACAAAATGTCTAGTTATATAGCTTGAATAAAATGTGCATTAGCATCAGGTAAAAGAAAAAGTTTTCTCTCTGCACATATAGTTTCTACACGGGAGCTGTGACTTGACTTGTTGCTTAAAAGGTTTTCAATTAAATTAGCTTCCACCATCATCCAAAATTACAACTGCAGCGGTGCGATATTTCTACCCAGCAACAACCATGTTCTTTCCCTAGTAGCAACAGTTAAAGCATCAAGGTGACGCAAGGCTTTGGGCTTGATTAAGAAGTTTGTGCCACATAGACAGAACAGAAAAAGTTCAAAACTTAAGTCAGCACAGAACACCTTGCCCTTGATCCAGTGCTAAAAAGGTACAACTCTTCCCGTCCTTATATCATCCACAGACTTTTTACTGCTTTCTCTCCTCTCTTGTCCTCTCTTCTCCTATTGGGCCGTGATTTGGCTTATTAGACACAAAATAAAAATATACGCCGTTAGCTGCTATGGCAGCAAAGGAGCCGCCATGGCAACAAACGACTTCAGGAAACTACCAGACAGTATTTGAGCATTTTTATTGGTCAGTTAGACTGCGGACTTGATTTGAGCACTCTGATAGGCCAGCAGAGCTACTTGGCGGGTGCATCTACTTGGGGTGAAGGGGCTAAGTTGTGTGAAAGTGGGCAGTAATTAAAACCAAGCATAAAGCTGTCAATAGGAGCTTATGACCCAGTGTAATTAGCCTAATATGATTTCTCTCTCTGCACTGTGGTGTACTAAACTGAACTGACTTATCGTCCTTGTGTACGCTTCAAACACACAGACAGAAAGGATGAGAGCCAGATAAGTACACAGACAGATTAACAGCTAAATAAAAATAAAGCCAGGCAGATAGATATAACAGACAGACAGGTAAGTAGGTAAGAGGAGAGACCGATAAATTGGTCGATAGACAGGCAGACATTTAGAAAGTATAACTTATTGCTCGGAAATTGAAAGAAATGGCATGATGAATAACTTCATATGAATATTCAAAAAGGTTTATTCGCTTCTCTGTCTCTGACACACACACACACACACACACACTCACAGATGTTTACATGCACACACAAACACAGAATGCTGCTGTGTACATGTATTAATGGACATCACACACATACCACCACCTTGTCCACGTACCCCAATCCCCCACTGACAAATCCTCAGGGGACGTGTAGCGGTCACCATTAAAAGGTCTTTCCAATACAAGCTCTGTTACCAAGGGGGCTAACAGTTAATTCGATTGGCTGGCTGGTAATCAGGAAGTGGGGTGCTCTGAGGGCCCAGTGATTAATGGCTCTGTTGCCCGCCCGTCATCTCCCAAAGCTCCTCCCTCCCTCCCTCCTCCTGTCATAAATTAGGACCCTCGTAAATAAAGACGGCACCACAATCAGGCAAACTCAATCAATTACACAGGTTCTCTGGCCTCGGCTCGTATGTCTGACAGGCAGGAATGCTAATGTTATTGTTGCTTCCAAAGGGCTAGCCTGTCAATTAGCGTACCAACGCACAGCACAACAGCATGAATATGGACCCCGCCATTTAACACCTGTCTGATTACTTGGCTTGTGTGTGTATGTCTGTGTATGCTGGTGTGTGTATGGATGACTATATCAGTCTAGGGTGTGTGTGACTGGACTTCTGGAAAACATTTCACTGTGAAAATATGCTTCTTCTGATGTGTCAGTCACATCAGATCTCATCTTCAAATGAGGTTCACAGATCACAATAAAACATTTAACTCCATGTATACTGCAGAGGACAAAACAGTGGACAATTCTGACATAAGAAGTGAGGATTGCTAAAAGTTTATAGCAACTAAGATGAACTGTGTTTTTAGTTCTCATATTTCTGTATATGCAGAATCCATTTGCACTTTTTGTGTTAATTGTTCTGCTATTAATTCTGTTTTCCTTCCTTCCTTCTTTGGATTTAGGACCTCTTTAATTCTTATTTGCTCCAAAAAACACATCTGATCTTTTAAATTTGTTTTTACGTAGTGTCTGTAAACACATGGCAACTGTATACACACGTATAAAGAGCGTTGTACCTGGTACTGGTAGACAGTATACGGCTGGAGTGCTTCATCTTTGCACATAGCAGAAATATTACTGTAGACAAGTGTTGCTGCATCCCCTCTGTGGGTGTCAGTGGTATGGTCCAGCCTGCGGTACACCTCATAATGAAGGATTCTACCATTTGGCTGAGTTGGAGGAGACCAGGTGAGCAGGAAGGTGGTCTGTAGGCCGGTGTTTGTGTCAGGCTGAAGGTCTAACAGTGGCGCTGTTTGTCCAGCAGGGGGAGCCTCCAGAGTGAGTACAGATGACCAGTCACTGGAGGAGCAGCCCAGTGCTGTGCAAGCCTCCACCCTCACTTCATACCTACACGCACAGAAAGGCACATATTTTAAAATGCAATAATCAGCAATTTTTTGTATACTGTGTAAGAGACAACTGTGGAAAAGAAACACAAGTAACTTCAATACTTTATTACATGATTTTTAAATGTCTGACTGCTCCAATTCCTGGGCTGTAATTATCAGCATGTTTGTCTCAACCACATGTCCACTGAGCATTATCAGACTACAACCAACATAACAAGGTAACTAACTTGGAGGCACTGTTGTGTTTTGGAGAAAGAAAGGAATAAAGGAGATGACAGAGAGGAGTGAGGGGGAGAAAAAGAGAGAGAAGGTGATGAAGAAGAGTTGAATGGATAGAAGGTCATCAGAGAGAGAGGGGGAGTGATCTTTAGATGATAAGGCTGATGAGCTTTTATTATCTAAATCTTATCACCACACACACACCCACACCCACACACACACACTTACGCATACACAGCCACACTTTCAAGCACACTGATGTGTGTATACTGGAGCAGACACACAAAGCTACACATGCATATGCACCCTTGCACACACAGAAATACACACATATACAGTCTTTGGTCTATACTGCTGTCCTTGTCTAAGAGAGAGATGGATACATGGCCACTGCTTCAAGGATTACTCCCTTCTCCTTTTTCTCTGTCTCTTTATTTCTTGCTTGCATTAGACTTATTTAGAAGTGTGCAGCAGCAGCACCGTTACTGTTACCTGACAAAGACAGAAGTTCAATTCTTTTAAAATATATACTAAATTTGAATGTTATTTTGAAAAATTGGACTGACTAGACCTAAAAAGAAGAATTAAAGAAAACAAATTACGAACAGAATACAATAAGGTGAACCTAGCTCTGGTGTTGGTGGCTTGTAAAGAATGTTTTTCCTGTTACCAAGAGATGGCACTCTTCTTTATCACCCATTTTTATTTCTTGTTCCTACCCATATTTTCCTTCATTACAGTTCTTATTACACAAGGAAAAAACTGTGTTGGTCAGCTTTTTTCTTAACTATTTTATGCAATGCAGGAAGAGGAAAATGTTAAATCTTTGACCTTCAGCTTTGCAATAAAAAAATTAAAAAAACTACATAATCTTCCTACCTGTACCATATAGTACATCAATAAGCAACATATTTTGCAGCATAAAAACCTAAAAGTGACCTGTGGTGGAGATCTGCTTTGACTGACCTGTGGTACGGAGCCAGCCCATGCAGAGTGGCGTGTCGGGCAAAGAAGTCACCATCCTCTGGAGTGAATACAATGCTGGTGAGGCTGAGCTGGACTGGGTCTCTTTGATATATAGTGTAACTCACAATGTCTCCATTAGGACGGGCTGGAGTACTCCACTCTACTCTCAGCTAGAAAGAAAAACAACATAAAGCACAAAAACCTTTGAAAAACAATTTAAAGATAGTAAGAAGTAACAATGTCATGATTCCGCTGTTACCTATATGGACTGAAGAGATGAATGGCTCACCTGGCTTGGTCCCAGAGGCGTCAGTGTGGGGAGACCGACACCAGAAGGAGCTGATGGGTGAGTCTTTGCAGTGGCTGGCTCACTGCTCACTGCTCCTTTGCTGTTGTTGGCCCTGACAACGTAGCTATATTCTACGCTTGGCGTTAGTGTGAAGTCGTGGTAATGGGTCTCTGTGCCGACAAAGATAACTTCCCCATCTCTGCGAAGCTCATACCCGGTGATGATGCCATTAGGGTGCTCTGGTGGTCTCCAGCTAACCTCCACTGACTCTGGGCCAGTGACCTTCAAAGGAAAGGTTAGAGGTCACATCAAACAGAGATAAAACTCAACAAATCTCACCCAAATAATAATAATAATTAAATAAAAATTATGACAAAAAAAACAAAAGTATGTGATTTGTATCATGTAATTAATGGCTGAGGAGGTTTTGGTCATTTGTGCAAGAGGATAAGTTCTTTTGGATGAGTGATGAAATGTCTTATATTACAAAGCAAGTGGTTCATTTGGATTCAAATCAAAAGATTTAGGTATTGTACTTGTATACCAAAGGTTTCATTGGAAGTCAAAAATATAGAAACAAACCTTAAGAGTTGGGGCAGGCAGGCCAATGGGAGGAGCCTCGCCAGTTACAGTGGACAGTGTTGTGCTGGCAGAGCACCCACCGTTGGTACAAGCTAAAAGGACCAGCTGATATGATGTGTGTGGCTGCAGATTTGACAACACTGTATGTAGGCTTCTACCACGATAAGCTTCTTCGTTGTTCAGTTTCAGCACATACTCAGTCACCTCTCCACTGTTTGTCAGTGGGTTGCTCCAGGAAATGTTTATACTATTGGAGGTTGTGCTGTCCACTGTGGGAGCTTCCACTGTGGCAGGTGGAGCCTCTAGAGTTGTGATGTTTGCATGAGGGCTCGTGATGCATCCCTCAGACGTGCAGGCTATGACTGAGTAGCTGTAGAAAAGAAAAGAAAAGAAAAGGAAAAAATTACGGTAATCATATCTATTAAAAATTATCAATTTGTATGTGGTGGTTATTTTGAATCCCCACAAGGAAACATTCAGGTTAGTCAATAGTAATACCTATATGTTGAAAACGGCAGGAGGTCTTCATCAGTGTAGCTGAGGACAGTCGGGTCAAAACTAAATGAGAAACTGACATTGTTTCTCTGAATCCTGTAGGACTGAAGTACCCCGTTGGGCTCCAGAGGAGGGGTCCAGGACACCAACACCTCACTAGGCTGGCCTTGGAGATGACTAACTGTTGGGGGGGCTAGACCACGAGGAGGGGCCTGTCTGGTTGTCACAGTAACCCAGGGGCTACGGGTGTGTCCAGCGGGATTGTGAGTTTGGACACTAAACTCGTACTGTGTCCAGGGACGCAGACCAGTCACTGTATACGAAAAGGTGTCAGCATGTTGTGGGGATGATTCTCTAAACAACACCTGTTGGAGACAGAATGATTAAGGTTGAGGAGCCTGTTGAGGAGACTGCCTATATCTTCAGAGATGTGTCTTTAGTTTCACCTACCTTTCCCCTTTCAGTACCCTCTTCATTGCTTCGTCCCCTCCCCACTTCCTCCAGACTTCTCCCAAGTAAGAAATACTCTCCGATTGGCCCATTGGGCTGTGAGGGTGGGCCCCAGGTAAGTGACACACAGTCTGGGCCAATGAAAAGAGGCCTGGGAGGGGGCTGGGAAGCAGGTGGAGCCGCTGCTGTGGTGATGTGCTGAGGAGGGGTGCGTGTGCAGCCTGCTGAGGTACAAGCTTCAAGAGTCAAAGAATACATAGTCCATGGCTCCAAACGACGAAACAGAAAGTTGCGCGATAGCCCGCTGAATTCCAGGTTCCCCTCACTGTACAGGTTATACATCTGGAAAGGAAGACACGGAAAGCAGGGAGGAGGAAAGAAAAGTGGTAGAGGAGAAGAGGAAGAGTAGGTGGGTTAAAGACATAATGGCAACAGACGAGTGACAAAGATGCCAAACAGATGAGAGGAGAGAACACATCAAAGAAGGAAAGAGCTTTTTTCAGTAGTATGTATGCAGCAATGTGGGTATGCATGACTGGTCTGACTTCAGGTGCAAGTCTATTGCTGTAGTGTACACATAGTGTGTATTAGTATATATGTGTAAGTATGCAAAAGAGTTGCTGATTGACATGGGGGTACAAGTTGTAAGTTGGTCAATTATGAGTGTAATTGTTGGGGTTTGTATGTATGTCTATTTATATTATTGGTATCTATCTGCTGTTTTTGCTGTGTGTATTGTACAGTATGTACCGTGATGATTCCATTTGGAGCACTTGGCTGATCCCAGCTCAGCAGTAACGCCCTGCCCTGCTCTCTCTGCTCCACTGTGAAGTTGGCCAGGCCAGCAGGAGAAGCTTCCAGGGTCCTAATGCCAACCCAGGGACTGGACACGCTACCTGAAGGGTTACAAAACATCTACACTCAGTGGAATGGTCTAGTGGTTGATGTTGGTATGATTTATCCCTGATATTTTAAATGAGTTACTGATCATTATCAACCTACCAGCATCGTTCACAGCTTCCACTCGTAGACTATACTGACTGTACGGTTCAAGACCATAGACTGTCGCTTCTAGGACTGAACCCTGAGAGATAGAAGGAGTACAAGTAAGAAAAGTAGGCAAAAGTAGGAGAGAGGTATGAAAGGGAGATAGTCGTAGGAAGTAGGAGATATGGGAGAGTAAAGAGGGAAGACAAAGGAATGATTGGGCAAGAGTTAAAAGGAGAAAGAATAAAAGAGGAGAGATGGAGAGGGGAAACAGGGAAGAGGGTAGCATGCCATAGCAAGAGAAGAGAACGAGAGGAAATTAGTTACACAAACAAATCCTGCATGAATAAAAACCAGTGCATTACTCATTAAAATGGGGAATGAAAAGGAACACTGAAACAATGGCAAGCTAAGATGACATGACATGGGATTTGTGATATCAACATTTCAACATACAGGCTCTGCCATGGTAAAGTAAGTAGACACCAGAGAAGTGGCAGAGACAGAGAGAGACTGGCAGGCAGGCGGGCGTCCCTTATGGGTGAATTCAAAGCTTCCAGATTGAGTGTTTATGTCACACATGCACCCTTTTATATCACACACACAAACACACAGAGACACAGGCAGAGTAAGTCTGCCAGTAGCTTTAGGCAGTGGGACCCAGCCCAACACCCTGGCAGACACAGGGGCAGTGTGTATGTGTGTGTGTGATACAGTGGGAGCACCATTTACTAATTGATAAGAGACACACTGTTGTTTCAAAAGGCCCTGGCGTGCAATGACATGGTAGTCAGGGAGCACTAGGCTCCAGGATGTAGCATTGCTTGTTTGTTTGTTTGTTTATGACTGTAAGCTTTAAAGCAGCTATGAGAGTGATGTTTCCCTGTGTATGTGTGTGTGTGTGTGTGTGTGAACATATTTGTGTAAACAAACATAGGAGGCTCTATTTTTTCATGTGTTGAGTCTGCAGTTTTTTAAAAATTGTCTGTTCAGGACTGTATTAGGCATATGTAAAGAGATTAACTGGTAACCCACTTCAATGCAGCAGCAAGAGGATCAAAAAGGCTCCAATTCAAACTGAATCAAATGAAAACCCTGACAAATCACCGTAGCGTGGCACCAAGGATGAACTGTCTGAACAACAACCAGAATGCATGTATTCACTGTTTTCATGTCTGGGAGCCAACGTGTTTTTCATCCACAGTAAAATAGGATTAATAAGCCCCTAGACACCTAGACACAAGCTAAATCCTCCTGCAAATCACAGCACTTCTCAGTAGAGAGAGGGAGGGAGGCAAAGATAGAGACACAGGGTGGAGAGAGATAGAAAGAAAAAGGGGCAGTGGGAGTGAGAAATAAAGGCCGAAAGAAAAAAGAGATCGGAATGAAATTAAGTAAGGCAACACAGGACAGAGAATCCGAAAAGAGGGGTAGAAAAAGTAAGAGGTGAGTAAGTTAATAACTGATGAAAGAAATAAAAGAGAGACAGAAGGAGGAGGGGTGTGTGAGAAAGAGTAGCGCAGAAAGAGATTGAGTGAATGGGTAAAAAAAGATGGAGGAAAGCTAAAGTGGGAGAGAAAAAAAAGATAAATGTGGCAAAAGGGAGAGACAGATTAAGTGAGCGAGAATGAGAGATCTCTCTACCTTAAAAGCCAGTGAAATATGTGAGGCATGTGGCCTATAAAGCGGTTAACATATGCACATTGTCAATAGCAGCATCTGGCGCTGGCAGCTTTTATAGGAGCATGGAGACTCTGCTACACGCCTCTAGATGGCAATACATTCAAACACTTTATCACTGAAACACACCACATTAACGGCCTCCTCACACACGCACACACACATACATACACACACTCGACAATCTAGCACTATGAAATTCACCACCTCAGCCTGCTAACTGCACACACACAGACACACAGTAGACAGGCAGTAATCAAATGGTGTAACACTAAAACACAGTACTGTTACATTACATTAACAGCTCCCTCTATAACTATTTCTCTCTCATACATACACATGTGCAGACCCACACACACACACACACACAAAAACACTTTAACAGTATCGTACGCATGAGGGAATGTGTAGGAAAACACATACACACACCAAAGAAATAATGAAATGAATAACAGAGTTAAGGTAAGACCACACAGTTGGAATTTAATTTCCCAACTTTAACTGAACTTAACCTTAAAATCTGACCTTGATGTGTATAAAATTAAACAGTTAGAGCAATGGTTGTTATATTTTTAATAGAAACCAATTTTGGAGCAAGAGCTATACAGCAATTTATAAAACAGGCATTTATGATCTCAATGTAATATTAAGGCCGGGTTCTAGTGTACTATTTTCATCAGCATCAGCAAAATTATAACTAGAGCAATTGTCTTTAGCAGCAAAAACTACTTTTGACAAATGGCTGTGTTTGTTAAACCTATTTTGAAAAAATGTCCAATCTATGAAGACCACTTGAAAAGCTACAATGTAAGATATGAAAGCAAAAAAGGTTCTCGTCAACCTAAATTCAGAGTGCCTGAGCATGTGTGATCAAAGTCACTACTTAATAAAGCCAAATGCAAAAGAACAGAGGGGGAGCACGGAGTCACGAGAGAGAGGGAGAGATGGGGGGAGAACAAGAGAGATTTGCACAGATGTAAAGGAAAGATTGTAAACAAGACAGAAGGAGAGAAAAGGAGACAATCATAGGGAAAGAAGAGAAGAGACAGGAAGAGGTCTTGTTAATTTATACATTAAAGAGCCCTCAGATCTTACATGGTTCAAGACAACTTAGCACTGAGGGCAAGGAAGCAATCTATTCAATCTTTTATTTCCTCATTCTGTCTTCTCTTTGGTGTGTGAGCTTAACAACAGCAGGGGTCATGTGGACAGTGTGCGTGTGTTTCTGCGTGTAGCCTCTAATCAAAAGCGGTCAGTGTGCAATGGTGTGCACTTTGAACCGGTAATATATCGGTTATATGGTGGGTTATTTGTGTGCATTTGCATGTATCCTAACAAGCCCACATCTGCATGCATCTTGTTTTGTACCCATGTGTCCCTACTAGAAGTGTGTGTGTGTGTGTGTGTGTGTGTGCCAGTGCAAGTGCACAGCTGAGTGTGTGTGATATTCAGGTGGAGAGGCATGGTGCGGCCGGGGGGACAGTGTGTGATACTAATTAAGAATAACCATGTGTATTTGTCAAAAGAATTATGCTGATTATCTCACAAAGGCCCCTGCACTGGGCCCCGCAGAGAGACAGAGACAGAGAAACGGACCAACATTAGCATATGGCTACACACGTGCATGCACACACACACACACACACACACAGGCTCTCTTTCTCTCTCTTTGTCTCTAACACACACATACACGCAGGTAAAAGTAAAGAGAGTGCCTAAGAACATACATGAAAGAACCATGCCTAATGATAGGTGAATGGGGTCCAACTGGTCTGCCTTAGGGATGTTTCTCTCCACAGGCTTTCTCTGGCCTCTCTGCTCTGTCATATTAAGTCCTGGAGAGATAATAAAGCACCATGCTGTTTCACCTTTTCTTATGTGTCTTAGTTCTTTCAGTGTCTGGTAAAATAGGCTATGATCAGATATGCTTCAGTTCAATTCAATTCAATTGA